TTAGCTCATTCTGAACAGATCTAAGCTCCGTCGGGTTAGTGGTACTGATAAGGTTGAAGTCGGCTAGCGAGAGAGTGAGTTGGTTGGTTCGAATTCGGTTCACGTTACACAGATGCCATTCTGTCCTGAAGTGTTTCCTCTGAAAATGCGGTAGAAGAGTCTGAATAATGTGCATACCATCCTCGAACCGTCTAACAAGTCCACGCCACAAATCTGGCAAATGAATTTATCTTGTGAAGAGACATAGTTCGAATACAAAGGCTCCGTTGGCGAAGCGAGGGAGGCTGGAGTAAAATTCACATAACGATTCTAATGGACTTACCAGGCAACATAGAGTTCGCAGAATCAACGCTTTCAGCCAAAAGGGTTAGTCCAGTGAGTTTTTCAACCGCTATTTTCTGATCAAACAAGGAGAATCGATCACAGGTTCTTTTGCACTGGCGATCAACAATACCAGCTTTCGAAGTCATTTTTCGCGGAAGAAGATATAGAAGGACGAAAAACACAAGCACAGGAGAAGCCGCTTATCTACAAAAGAGAGGATATGAGTGCATAGTGATGAAAGAAAGTGCGTATGGAATTCAGACGTCCGTTCACCGAAAAGTATGTCTCAACGAAACAAACCACAGAACTCTTATTCTCGCCACACAATAACTGAGGTGTGCTTCGTAGATTCGGTTTTCGGTAAGCTCATGTCATGGGTGTGGATGTAAGACCCATCGGATCCAAGAAACCAAAAAAGGACGACGGTGACAAAGAAGGGGGAACAAGATGAAAAGATAAATATAGAAAAAGAGAACAAGAGAACTTATGCACTCTGACCATTCACCGTTGCGTCGTCCGACGCAGATAATTCTTATGACATTTGAGTGGTTAATTGATGACCAAATCCTCAATCTCGTTACTGTAGCACGAAGTTCACGAACTTTACCGTAAGTGTAAACCCTGCATCTGGCTGCTCCAGCCTCTAGACCACAGGGCAAAGTCCTGATGGTATCGGTTGGTGCTACATACTACCGGCAGAATTGTGGGTACGAGGGTGCAAAGCGTTGGTGTCCCTTATCGCGATGGTTGAAGTACAAGGACCTGGAAAGAAAGGAAACAGTTCACACGTACTCCACTCACGGTACGCTGGACCGAGGTGAGTGATGTCAGACGATGTACATCTTACGCAAGCCAAGGTTCGTGGTATCAAGCATACTCACCAGGAAGTATCATGCAACTAACTGATCGCAGCTGCTGAGGTAAGCAACTGTGCGTACAACTTGCCTATAGCCAGAGTCGGTTATTCAGTGAATCAACACTAAACACAGTCATCGGGTGACAGCAGCGGCGAACGCAGTCCGTCTGTGAAATGGTATTAGATAATTACTGGCATCAGCAGAGGCCCTTTCAGAGCTTAACCTCAAGCCCGGCGTACAGCTACTAAACCTGCTAACCTCTCCGGTTGCACACCTCTCAGTTGCTCACCTTTTGAGGCCCAAGAGAGTGTTGAAATGCCTGTCCACAAACTGCCTGTCTTTTCAACAAACTTTGAGATACTAAGCAGTCAGTTCGGCCTGAACAGCAGTCCACAACCTCACTCAGAGACCTGGTTCACACCGGATGTCCCTGACGCGAAGATCTCGACAGACGGCTACTCCGTTTTTCGAGCTGACTCAAAACGAGGGAGGGCTGGTGAGATTGCTTTATACTTAGATGCGGCCCCGCCGATCCCGATAGTCCTCTCTGATACCACTCC